TTTGCGCTCATAAAACCTATTTATATGCCAGGCAGCTACCTAAGGGACGGTGCTGCCCCCCTCCCCACAGTACAAATGAAACGGGTTCACTAATATGCTCGATCGTTTCCATTGCAGTGTGCCAGGGCCACAATGCGCAGGCGCAGGCGCAAGCGCGTGAGATCTCCACGCAAGATCATCAGAAGGAGGGTAGGCAGAAGGCAGGCAGCAGTCGGGCCCAGAAGGAGCCCTTAGTCCGGGGGTCCAGAGCCCAAGTCCAGTTTGAGGACGGGACCACACAAATACAGGCACGCGTTCGCTGACAGAATAAAAATTGTTGCGCTTGTGTTTAACGCGCGAACGCGGCGATATCGCTGCCACAGCAAACGGCAACGGGCAACCGGCAACCGGCAACGGGCAACGGCAGTGGCTGTGGCTGCCACAGCAGAAGCAGCCAGATCGTACCTTGTTTCAAACTGGCTCCCTGCCTGGATCTCTGACTCTGTTCCTCGGATGTGGCTCTCAGGTTAAAGTGGTCGGGGAGGGAGGCCAGGCCAGGCCAGGACAGGGCAGGGCAGGGCAGGGCAGGGCAGGCATTGTCGGCTTGCTTAGCTATCACTGAACGATTATCGTGCATTTTAAAATTCTTACGAGTTTCTGGAGTTGTTGCTGCTGATGCTCTGCCTTCTGCCTTCTTTACCTTTTATACCCGTGTTGCCCTTTTCTCTGCGCTGCGCTGCGCTGCGCTGCTCTTTGTTGGGCCAGATTGGAATCACGCATGGGAACCAAGCGCCTTGGCTTTTGTCTTGTCTGCGGACTGCAAAAAAAAAAAATAATATAAAAAAAACCTAGAAAGGAACGATATTGTGTATGAAAAAACTGCAGCATTCTCATCAACAAATTAGGAGGCGGATATATAATAAACCACGGAGAGGCGAGGGGCGCTGGGGCTGGCTTTAAACACAGTTTTATTAATCTTTCATTTTAAATAGTAATTTGTATTTATCAATTTGTTAATTGCATAGTTTACATAGTAGTTACTCTCCTCAGCAAATGCCCAAATGGGTATCATTCGATTATTGCCCATGTACACATAGTAGGATCGCAGATGTTGTATATAGATTTGAGGCAGATGCTTTTGTTTTCTTGGAAATACATAACTAAATTGCTACACAAGAATTGTCTTGATAATAATTTGATAACGCTATCATATAATATGTTTATGTATAATACCATTTATGTTTATATATTTGTTGTAATTATATTCTCTGTGGGCATAACTAGTAATAATTGAATTTTTTTTGTGGGTTTTGCTTTGTCTACACTCTGTGGAAGGGTATTGGTAGTCGGAGTCTCTATTGTTTGTTTCTTTGTCATTCATTCGTCAAACACTAACACATATCCTACGCAAATTGATTGATCCCGCTGTATGCGAGTATATCTATATTTTAGTTAATCAGTTTTGCAATAACATACAACATTTGCAAACAAAGCGAAAGAGTCACGCTACAGGAAAAAGTCAGTAAAATATATTTTTGTAAAAAACTAAATGGGGGGGGCGATAAACAAAGTTTTGTCGGTCTTAAGATTTTATAATGTCTCAAGAATGCACTTTAAAGCGCATGTGATAAAAGTTAAATGTTTTTGGCCCCACTTCCGTCAATAAGTCCCCGATAAGGGTACAACTACGTCAAGAACGAACCAATGTCATTCCAAAAGAATGGTGCCCAATATCAGACAAGGAAATGAGTATTGCTCGTAGTATAATGGAATATAAATAATAATTACAAACTAAAGACCGACAGATTCGGCAGGAGAAACTAAAGCGAGCCTTAGCCAAGACACGAACCGCAAAAGAGGAATAATATCTATAGGGATATTTTTTTGTACATAGGTATATAAATATTCTATAGTATTTGTTAGTTTACCTATAGCCTATGACCTGTAGAGCTGCTTGAGGGGTTTGGTCTCAAATCCTAGTTCAGCATTTAGTTCTAGTAAAAGTTCTGCAAGTTCTCTCTGCTTAGTTCTCTGTAGATCTTGACACACATTTGCAGTCGGTATATTCTAGAAAAAAAAAAAACAAATTTCCTTTACACTTGTATTTGTGTCCCTTACTTTGTTGCTTCTGTATTGTGTGTGTGGGTGTGTCTGCAAAATTGCAAAATTGCAAAATTCCATTCAGTTAGTATTTTTGTTGTAGACTTATTCAAAATTCCAGACAGTACTCTCGGTTGCATATTGCTCGGTCTATGCGATTTCGTCATTAAAATTCATGTTCGGTGTCCAAAATTGTATTCTTTGTTTGCTAATTGCATTGATTAACTAATCAGTAATCAGGCTAAATCCTTAGTTTTCAGTTGTCTACAATTTGTTAAGTTGTTAATTTATTAACTAGATGAAACAGTTGGTAGCAAATATTTACTTATTGTTCTAATTTTAGTGAATTGCCTTTGTATTTTGTTGCTTTCTGGTGATCCATATTCCTTCTTAGATTGTGTTTCCGTCATCGTAATCTAACCCTAAACGCTATCTAATATTACAATTTGATATTTTAGACATTTATCGTTTTCTGTTTTCTGTTTCTACGTTTTTGTCAATGTGTGTTCCTCATCCTCATCCTCATACGATTACTCTCTCCTCTTCGCCTCTTCTGTTTTCTAAATGGAGCTGGAGCTTTCAAACATTATCTCTTTTTTGCTGAAGTTTAAGTTCTTTTACAATATGATTTGTTTTATTGCTGCTTTGCTGTCGCGAGTATGCGAGCATTACATATAAATATTTTGCTTTGTTTTTGGTTTTTTCGTTCATTTTTTTTTTTTGTTTTTTCATATATTTCTGGATCACATATTCAAGTAGTTTCAAAATCACATAAAAATCACTCTTACAGTAGCGTATACAAAATACATGCTTCGTCTATAAATATATAGATGTGTGTGTATTGGTACACACTATATATATTGTGTGTTCCCGATTCCTGGTTTGATTCTTCTCAGTTGAGATATCGTATCGCGTGAAAAATGGATTGATTGACATGTTCAAATATTGCCTTGCATTTGCATTGGTTGCTTTTCGATTCGAGGATAGAAGGAACGTCCCTTAGTCGTTTCGTTTGATATACCAGAGTATTCGTGTGTAAAGGTTACATAAACTATGATAGCAAAAGTGTTCAAACAGTGTCGGAATCGATGTGAGTCAGTGATATTCTCAGAGAGAGATTGAGAGGTATGGTATACGCACTGGTATTTGCGACTCAACAGCTCCATTATAAAACCAATTTCTCCATTCATATTTCTCCACCTGTGGTCTGTGTACGCTTATATCATAAACTATTAAAGCATTTACATTTAACACACATTTATTTATTGTTTTGTTATAATAATTTGTATTTCAAAATGTTTGCTTTTGGCCTTCTCCCTACAAAAACACAGTACAAACACACATAGAGATAAAAGCCTTTGCGCTGCGCTGCCTTTTCTAGTTAGCTTTTTTAATAATATATAATATACATACATATATTTGCTTTTCGTGTATATAGGGTTCGTATATATTCTTGTATATCGTCGTAGTTTTGCTTTTGCTTTTGTTTTTCCATAAATGCCTTTGCAGCTGCGATTCCAATTCATTCACAAGACAGTTTCACTTTCTTTTCGCCGTTTCCGTTTCGTTTCGTTTCGATTACATATGTAGTTCTTTCAAACTAACTAACAATACATTACATTTGCTCATTCAACTTTGTCGTATGCGACCAGTAAATTGCTCTTGATAACTACAATATTGCTGCACAAAAAAATACAATGGTTATTGAAGACGGTTTGTTTTTACATTAACTCTGGTTAACATTTTCTCTTTAAACTGTGTTCGATTCGCTGTATCGAGTTACATTTATTGTTATACTTCCTTCATCACAAATCTGTGTCCAAATGCTTCATAAATATATATATTGTAGATCTATATAGTATATTTCATATTCGTTCTTGTACCATAAGCCAAATGCTTTCAAATAATTCCATATATCTTAACAACTATTTTCTGACATTGACAATTTGTTTTGCGTTGCTTTTGCCTTTTGCTTTTGCTACATTGGAAGCGTCCATTGAGGGGGCTATGAAAATCAAGGGAAAATTGAGAGTCAGCTGCAAATAAGTACTTAAAGCACTAGAAAAATCACAAAGTAACCTAATAAGAGTACGAGTATATAAAGAATGTTGGTAATTTGTGTTGTGTGTTCGGCTATCCATATGGATTAAAAAGCCCTATACAAAAAATGAACATATTAGGGAAAGCGTTGTCGCATTCAGTTACAAATCAATTTTATGTTCTATAATTACTTTTTGTGCAGTTAAACAAGCGGGGAAATACATGTTCAGTACAGACTAAGATTTATGATTCGTGAGTTACATCAATTTATGACTGTTGGCCTGGGGGGTCATTTGCTTGATTATTTTGTTTTTGTCGTTCTCACAAGATTGAAACACACATACGAGTACATACTATATAAAATATAGTTTTGAAAATCGGCTTATATAAAATCACTGGTGGTTTTGTTGTTTGTTGCTGTTTGTTACTGCTGTCGCACGCGACATTACAATGTTAAATCTTCATTAACTTGATCAATTTGTTGTTTTCTATAAATTTGTTAATAGTCAATTGCTAAAAGTGTCTAGAAAAATTAATATACCATTATAGTTATCATATCGAAAGCCAATTACATTCTGTAATGGTTCCGCATTTCATAATTCTTTAGATAATACTAGTGAAAAGTACAATATGACTGAAAATGTGGCATATTTCAATACAAATTATAGATAGATAGACGAGTAGATATACAAAATAAAAATCAATGGAAAAATGAGAATTATTGCAAATTCGTGCAGTAGATTGAATACAACGAAAATTGAAAAAAATATATAATTATATAAGAGATAAGTTATAAGATACGATTCAATGTTAAACCATTTTTCAAATATTCCTGTAATCATTAGAAAAAAAAAAAAAAATTCATATTAAAATAGTAAAATACCACAAAGTAAAATATATAACTTAATTGTTAAGAGCAGCTAGCTAATTCAATTAATAGTTTGTGCCTAGTAATTGCTAATATTCATGATTAATTTGCATAGAGCTGAAGTATACATAACTCATTAGAAAGGTTTGACATATGCCTTCGATCAGAAGTTTCAACATTTCGCTTACAAAACTAAAGTTTTCTTTTGTGTGTCATGCACATTGTCATGCTGTTCGCGCAATGGGCGCGTGTTAATATCCGATCTCTCAGCCAAAGGGCCAGTTGTGGCCGCCCTGTTGCTGATTGAACATATTCTAGGTATGTGTTGTCATCACCGGCACCTGGCAGTAGGGGCACTCGGTGACCGAGCCGGCGCAAGTATTGCAAATGGACAAGTGATTGCACGGCTCCAGGGTGACGGTGCGATTGTTCTCCTCGCACTTCATGCACTTCTTTGCATTCTCTAAATATAATACTTTGTCAACCTCCTCTAAATCGGTGCGCAGCTTTGACTGAAAGAAGATCGAAGATTATGTTAAATCATCTCACTGGGTGCGGGGGGTTATCAGAGTCAAGTATATCACCTGCAATTGCTTTAATTTCTGAATGGACAAGTCTCGCAGCTCAGCCGGCAAGTTGAGTTGCATCTGAACCAGATCGTAGCGCTCCTTCCACTCCAAGGCTTCCTGCTTGGCCTTGTCGCGGTGTAGTTCGGCAATCTTTAATTTACAGACCACATCGTCATATCGATTGCTCAGCTTGTGGATCTGGGCGTTCTTCGTAAGCAAATCGTTGGTAATGCTGCTGTTGTTCTGCGACTGAAGCGATTGCAAGCTGAAAGCGTTCTTGGCCGTATTCAAGGTATTTTCGAACAAGCTGTTTCCCACCGAGCTGCTATTGATGTCGTCACGTATGGTATTCAATTCGGATATTCTGACCGATGGACTAATGGACAGGCCGTCGCCGAAGCCAGGGGACATGATACGCGATGGGAAGAAAAGGCTGTTGTCGTTCTGTGTGGCAGCCGAGAGCGAATTGCTTAGTTTGTTGGATCCGCCGTAGTTGAATGCATCCATGGCGAAGAGATTGGCGTGATTGGTTGGACTGTAGGTGAGCGAGCTGCTGGGAATGTTGACGGCAAAGCCACCCGAGTTGAAATCTGTCCAAAATTGAAGAAAAACAAACCCATTCGTTAGACATTAGCCAGGCACGTTCGGCTACTTGGATTGTTTCACTTACCATTAATAGAGTTACTTAGTGTCGTATTAGGAATGTTAATTGGCGCCGAGGAACGTGTTAATAAGCTAGTATTGGCCAGACTCGACGACAGTGAGTTCTCGCGTGGATCTTCCAGTGAGCAAGCTACTTGCAAAGAGTGAAGATAGATACATACATTTAAATTTGAGTTACAGTTAGGCGGATTTGCGGCATTTGCTGCTTTAGCTCTCTGACATTTTGTCCACAACCAACATTTAGAATAGGGAATATCTTGAATATATTGTACATATTTATGTCTTATAGGTTCACCCCAAAATACTCACAACGACTGTCCAGGGGTCGTGAGAAATTTAATAATTTGCTGGAATTTCTTGTATTTTCCAAAGCATCTACCAACATTTTATTGGTACTATTACCATGTTCAATGTTCAACAACTACGAAGAGAACGAAACAAAGAGAAAAATCGAGGAGAGCAATGAGAGAGAACGCCAAAGGTTTCTGTGTGGGATTGATTTGTTAAACAATTAGCTGATATGATCGTTAGCTGGATTAGCGCGGCTGTTGTAATGTTGTTGGTAATGTTGGGGTAGTATGGGAGGATTAGACGATTACATACACATAGATACACAGGATATGCATGAATGGGTTTGGTTTTTTACTGGTTGGTTAACTGGTTACTGGTAATACGTACATTATCGCCCAAATGGTGCACATCCCGTGGCTGTAAGTCGGGCAAGGCGTTGGAAATGAGGTCACGAAGCGAAAGTTCATGTTCCCACGTCTTCTCATCGGCCATTACACAAACTTGTTTTGGGTGGAGTGGTGGGAGTTATGGAGAAGCGACACAGAGCAGCACAGCGGCAAAGCGAATATTGATTGATGCATTGATATTTTGAGGGGTTTTTTTTTGTATAGCAGTTTAAGAGTTTTTTTTGGATTCGCGATTCGGATGGTGCGAAGCAAGTAAAAGACAAACAGAACATTAATTCAAAGGTATCAAAATATCTGTATCCCTATGATGGGCCCTACAGAATCTGGTTGTGGAGAACAGCGCCGAAAGCTTTGGAAACTACAGAAAATGCCATTCGAGGATCGCAACTTACGTTCGACATGGGCAAAGGCGCAGAATACGCTGCGTGGACAGTAGCCGGCCTGTTGTACATCGTTGCATTTGGTGGACTTGTATATCTCCGGATGGAACTGCTGTTCAGTGCGAGTGTGACAGTACTGGCAATTGTCGCCGGCCTCGCAATTTCCCGGCTCGCCCCATTCCTCGCCGTGCTTCACATTGGGGCAAGGTGTTGATCTGCAGAAATGGAAATACGTTAGATAGGAGTATTGGTTGGTATTCGGTTGACTCACCTGTATTTGAACTTCCTCGGCGATCGACGCTTGTCCTTGCTGTTGTGATACTGTGGACAGGCATAGCCTTGTCGGCACAGGCGTGGTGGACGCTTGCAAGGCTCCGTCTTGTAGTTGGCCAGCACATAGTTGGTGTCCTGCCATTTGGGATCTTCGTTCATCAGGTTGCGCTCTTTGTCCAGGGCATTCAGGGCATTGGTGCTGTCGAGGGTAATTTCCGCATTCTGCAAGGTCTCCAGCTCCTTGATGTCGTACACGGGTGGCCGCTGATCCTGCATTCCATGGGCAAAGGCGCAGTGCAGACCATTCTTGACGCAGTACCCCCGGCTGTCCGTGTCATGGACACACATACATGTCTTGTAGTAACGCAAGTGGTAGCGTCGCTCGGTGTCGCCAGCGGTGCGGTGCAGGAAGGGGCATCTGTGGATACGAGAGGGGAATTTAGTGACGTGCGCTCGGGCCCGGGCTAAAAATAACCACGCAGCTGTTTCCCCTCCTTTGCGTGGGTACAGGAGAAAGAAGCAGGAGAAAGCGCACACATATCAAGTCTGGGTCACAATGGCAGTTGTGCGCAGAAATTGTAATTGCGTATTATTCTTTGCCAAAGTGTATTCATACAGGGTAAGGAGCTCCCAGGAAACGCATTCTTGATGGTAGCATACTATGGGAAACATATATGCACTTGAAATATCGAGAGTGTAGCACCCCATTATGCATACACCTTGCGCCCAACGCTTGCTATCTCGCTCTCAAAGCTTCAACAAAAACTCGCCCTCACAATAACTGTACATTTTCAAGCTGCCGGGGAAAATCAAAATAAAACGAAGAAAACACGCAAAAGCGAAACGCAATAACAACAATGACGCACACTTGTAGCAGTTGTGTTGTCCGTATGCATGTGTGTGAGTGCGTCTGTGTGAGTGTCGGAGCAACAACCACCGCACAAGATACATTAAACTTGAGGTAAGGCAGACCAGAGTCACGCTCTCTCGCGCACACATTTTTTCACACACATATCGAAACACGCCTCACCATCCATATAATATACCTTGCCAGCACCACCACCAAGTCCAGGCAGCAGCATCCGGCGGAGAGACACAGCCCACAGGCGGATTAGAACTTCCCCTTCGCTCGCACAATTGCTGAAATCACTTTCACTTTTGTGGGCGACAGTGGCCTCGTCGTAGGTTACGCCTACCCTACTCACTCACACACACATGCACGCTCGAGCAGATACACACACACGCATTTGAATTTCGCTTTTTGCTAGACGCTACGTTCCCCCCACACACCCGCACCCAACTTTTTGTTTGTAAACACGAAGACAAGAGATACACACACACGAAAGAAGCACAAAGAGTAAACGAAAAAATACTACGTCGTTTCGCTGGCGTTGTCTCATCCCCAGATTCTGGTGCTGCTGGTTCCCAGAGGCGACGCAATTTGTAATGCCCAGGATACTTACTCGTCGCCTTCGGGACAGATGCCTGTGGTCTCATCGTATTTGGTGCAATAATTATCCGCACTGTAGTTGAAGGTGCCGTCGCGTTTACGGACGGGTCGCCGACGCCGCTGATTTTGAAAATGCCAATTAAAACATATGAACGGACGATGCTGATTGCATTTGTGCTGCAGGAACGACTGGCACTGCTCCACGCGGAACTCCTTCAGGTAGCTGCACAAGTAGAACAATTGCTAAGCTCAGTTTCCACACTTTAAGGATAATTGGGTGGTTTATTTACGTATAATGATTGGGTTTTTCTTGTTGTGAAGACAACAGTAGCTTGCTCGTATCGTTCGCCATCTTTGAAGTGCAGTTATCGTTAAGTGCAGTTATCGCGGGATTATCGTTCAAATATACCGTCCGACACTCAAAAATATACCAAAATATACCGTCTCTTTTTAAAAATATACCGTAAATATACTGACGAACTCAAGTTCTATTTTACATATTCCTCGATTTCGATCTTCCGTCTAATATTACTAGCTATATAGAAAATTTAGCCATGCCCACATAATTTTATACGATTAGTGAATTTATTTCCTAATTGACTGGTCTATTTTAAACACTTGCTTTTATTGCATTTTGCGTAAAAAGAAAAATAAAAGAGGATAGTCGTTCCCATTGTTAAAATTTGATATTCCGTCGAATAGTAACAGCTATATCAAACATTTTGCCATACCCACATACTTTTAAACGATTCATTAATCAATTTTTTACTTAACTGGCTTATTCTAAATAATTAATTTTATTGGATTTCTATATTAAGTTGAAAATGAAACAAATATACCATTATATATATTATGTGTACATATATGTATATGTCGACTTATCGACAAGACAAATATACCGAAAGGTACGTCACATTTTCAAAATATACCACTAACAAAAGAACTAAGACCACCTTAACCATTTTTATTTAAGCAGGATAACAACTTCAGCTTGTAGATCTTTCTTATCCTTCCTGTTTACCTCACGATTTCTTTCACCTGAATTGCGATCAAATTCTTCCAGATTCATTGTTTTCGTGGGTAGTATTTTAATGCCCACTGTATTAATCGTTGATCGACAATGGGTTAATCGTTCTCTATCCATGATCGGAAATCATATTCTTCGATTTTTATATTCGATTTTAAAGTCGCTCCTCTAAAATAAGGTTTAAACAAAAATAGCTAAAAGCATTAAACGTAAGTGAGCATGAAATGAAATGTGAGCATTATATGTTACGTTATTTGAACACTTGCTTCTGGACAATCGGTGGTATGGACATTTGCTTACCCTATCTTCTTTCTTTTATATTAATAACTGCTTTCCCAGCTTCTCTGAATCGTAATTATGTCTTTTTTTTCATGTTTTTTTTACCTGTCTTGCTGGGATACGATTCTGGCTGGTATAGGACTCGGACTTAATTTTCGCTCTCTTAAATCGTACTTTCAGGCATCCCTTACTCCACTGGATTGCACTCATTAACTATTAAACAATTCGAGCTTGGCACGCAGTTCTAGCGATTGGAAAACATAATTTTAATATTAATTAAAGGAAATAGGGTATACAAATGTCCGTACTACCGGTTCTCTAGAAACATGTGTTCTTGTATTTCAACGTAAGAAATTACGTATCAATCCATCCCACTACGTAACACTTCACACCCACCTTACGTTTCATTCCATACTCTCTTACGTTTTTGGGCATGGCGTCCGCCGGGAAAACACCGCAAATTAGCCACAGCGACTGTCTGTCCTACTTAAAGGTGGGTCAGGATGTCTCTACCGTGCGGATCTAATGGTTTATAACACTCCACAGACTCTCGGCGATGTCCAGCCCGAGGAGGCGGCCCGCCAGTTGGCCCAGAAAATCGGAGCGGAGGAGGAGGCTGCGCAGGGCGACACGTGCGGGGCAAACCAGGCCGCCCTGAACATCAACTTTCGTGTGTACTACCACATTGTGGACAAATACGCCCTCAAGGATGAGCACTTTGCCGACTTGCCGAAGCGGCTGACCTGCGAGGAGCCAATCGCATTCCTGATGCTGCAGTCCGTGCTGCTCACCGACCACTGGAAGCGGCTGGATGCGGATCTGCTGGAAGAGAAGTGCATTGCAGCCATACTGGCAGCCCTGGCGCAGAACAGCTTGAGTCTGATTCCCGTGCTAAAGGCCACCAATCTCCTGGTGAAGAAGTACCCGCAGCTGCAGCTCCTGCCGCTGCAACTGGAGCACTTTTATCACTGCCTGCAGCGTCAGAGCCAGACGGGGTCGCGCGAGGAGGCCCTGACGCTATTCAATCACTGCTGCAAGCAGCAGAGGCGAGCCTTCGCCTACTTTCGCCTGATTATGCAGTTCTGGCCGTGGACGAACCGCAACAAATACTATCTTCTGAGTGGCATATTAAACTGGCACTCCCTGCCAGATCTCCTGGCTGCGAGCAACCAAAGCGAGTCGGAGTTCTTCAGCGGCCTGCGGCTCAGCCTGAGCTACAAGGGTCTGCGGGCAGCCAGTCAGTATCCGGTGAAGAGCCTGAGCAATCAGCGATCCCCCGCCCTACTGGCCGGCAGTGTGGAGCTGCTGGTTAATGGGAGCGTGGCCGAAATACAGAATTTTCACTCCCAATGGTTCCTGCGCATCCAGCAACGCAATGAGCTTTTCGAGCTCCTGCAATCCAATCCGCGGATTGTGGAATTTCTGGCCAGCTCCGAGGATGTGCGCTCGCCCAACGACCAACTGCGGCTGATACTCATATTCAGCATGTTCGCGAAGGAGATTTACGCCACCTCCAAGCTGCATTTCTTCAAGATCAGCACGGAACTGTTGACCAACTGCAGCCACTTCGAGACGGAAGCCCAGCTGCTAATATTTCGGTTTCTGGTCGAAAATCTACCGAACTTTGCGGTCGAGGATTGCCTGGAGTTCTTCCACAGCTTTATCGAACGCCATCGTAGTGTGGAGAGCTCTGAGTTCCGCAACACGATGCTGGGCAAGATGCCCACAATCATTAACCACACTGCCAAGCACTTTCACAAGGTGCTCAAGGTGGCCAACGGCGTGAGAGTGGATGGTCTCGCACAGAACATAAAGCGCTTCTTTTCGCAGCTGCAGGAGCTGATCGACCGGGACATCCACTGCGAGGTCTATCAGCCGAAAATCTTTGCCCTCAAGCTGCTGGAAATCCTTAACAGATCGTTGTACGCCGACCATGTCGCAAAGAACGCCAAAATGTGCAGCACACAGCAGAACCAGCAAATGGGCGCATTCCTGCTCGATCGAGGGGTATTCCGGCCTCAATTGGTGGCCCAGCAGCTGTTCGAAACTCTAAACAATCCCCAAGGCTTTGACGATGCCCTGGAGCTGACGGTCTCGTTGATCCTTCAACTGGGTCACGTGAACACGGAGCAGTGTGTGCAGCGTTGCCTGGCCCTTTGCTCCAGCTCCGATGTGGATGAATGTGCCCTCGTCTCGCATTATGCCCAGCTGGCTGTCAAGAGCCAGCAGCAAACAGGAAGCGGCTTGTACAGGGAATGTGTTAAGCGGTTGCCAGAGAAGCTGGAGTCCTTCCTAAAGGATCCCCTGCTCACTGCCAAAGAGGGAGGCAATCTCTTTGGGTATCTCTGTGTGCTGGATGAGGTGGTCAAAGCAGGAGGAAGATCAGCCAAGGAGTCGCAAGAAATCAAAGATCTGTTGCCGCTGCTAGAACGCATTCTGAATGGCATCTTGAAGTTTCTGAATCTTTCCAACGCCAGAAAAAGACATGCAGATGCGGAGGAGGAGGCTGACATGGCACCCAGTTTCCAGGACATGGACGAGAGTCTTCAGCTGCTGGTCAACGAGAGTGCATTTGATGCCAAAGATGATGTCGAGGCCTGCGGGAAGTACTTGCTGATGAGCTTCTGGCTGACTTTGAAAGGCTGCTGCGATTTGGCCGCCAGCATGGGCTGCTCCCTGCTCCAAACGGATGCAGCGGCTCAGGCCGATTGGGATGCTCTGCGCCGCTGCCTGGACATCAATGTGGCCGTGCTGACGCGCTGCCGCCACAAGGGCGCCATTGAGTCCGGTGGCCTGAGCATTGGCAGACTCACCCGTGGCATAACCAGCACACTGAAGAACGAGGATAAAGGATTCCAGCTGCTGCACGAGTGCCTCGAACGGGAGTTACTCGCCGAGAGCCGGCAGGTGAGCACAACACGGCGTGGCGCTGGCTTTGCCATCATGTTCCTGCACGTCCTGAAGAACGACAATCCGCGGCATCGTTTGATCTTGCACCGAGCCGTTCAGCAGATACTTCAGAGGCTTACGGAAAGTCGTCCGAATGTCACAGACGGTAATCACGATCGCTGGGAGGCCCTGGTGCTACACTATCTGTGCGTCCTGGTGCGGGACACGGAGCTGAGGCCGGCCATGTGCAAATACTACAACGAGATTATGATGGTGGCCATGGAGCACATCGACAACGCCGAATGGACCGTCTCCAATGCGGCCCTGCAGCTGTTTGGAGCGAGTCTGGGCAAACTGGTGGGCCAGCGACAGGCCACCGAGTTCGAAACGCGGCCCGTCTGGGAGCCCAGCGAGCTGAACTACGACGAGCTGGTCTGCCTGCTGCCCAGAGCCTGCGAGCATATGCTTGACTGCTGCGACAGGCGAAAGGTGGTTACCTCCTCCATTATACTCTTTCTGGGATTCCTCTCCAAAGTGGAGCACCTGCGCACCACCACCGCCCACACAGGCGGCTCAGACGTAGACCCGAGGCTGCTTCGCTTCCGGCGGCTCAGTTGGCGTCTGTTGCGGCACAGGTGCGAGCAGGTGCGTAAGCTGGCGGCCACCTGTTTTGTGCGTTCACATGAGTTCCGCTGCGATCTGCCGGTAGCGCTGCTGGCCAGCGCTAAGCTGGCGGCTCATCTCACGGAGGAGAACTTCTACGAGGGACTGCTGTACACGCTGACAGCGGGCGTGCATAAGCTGCAGCACGAGGCACGTCACGTGTGGAGCGGGCAGCGTCTGGAGAAGTTCTTTGACGATCTGGTGACCACGCTGGAAGTCACTGAGCGAGTCCGTCGCTTCAAGCCATTCACACTGAACGTGCTCTTAGAGCTATTGGAGCTGCTAAAGTCCGCGGATAAGGCAGCGCTGGTGCGGCAGCTACAAGAGCAGTCACAGAGCCACTAGCTCTCTATCTAATCTGGATATCTACCACGAGTATAAGCCAAAAAGTAATCATTAGCTGCTATTAGTTTAGTCTTTCTTTTGCAACGCTTTTACAACTATTCAAATGACGCATTTAATGAACAAAACAGATCTTAAATCGAACGTAAAGCTGTAAAACTATTTTTGCGATCAACTGAAACCTTCGCCAGTCTCCTGCTCCATGGCCTGCTGCTGCTGCTTCTCGTGGGCCTCCTGCGCCATCTGCTGCAACGTGCGACTGAGGATGTTGCGGAGAATATGCGGCTTGCAGTGCTCCTCCAGCCAGGGTATGATGCCGGTGGTCAACTGCTTGAAATTATCCATCGGTATGTGCTGGAATGTGTCAAACATTTCCTCCAAGATGGCCTGGAACTGCACGAGTAACCAGAGAGTTAGAGAAAAATATGAAATTGCTGAGATTTTCAGCATGCAAACGAACCACTTGAAATTTCGCCTCGTCTGTGAGGCGGGCCTCCTCTGGCCCTGGATTGGCCTGCTGATGCTGCAGCATATTCTCGTACCCATTCTTGATGATCCGCAGCGCAGTCACCTCCTTCTGCAGCGCTGAGCCCTCGTCCTCTTGCTTGACTTTCTGCTGATTCAGATAGCCAATGTACTCGATGGACTTTTGCAGTATCAGCGCTTTGCTCAGCTTGTAACCCGAGGAGTCGTTGGGCTGACAACGAGGCACCAGCTCCTGCAAACTATCGTATCCCTTCTTGATGGCGTCCCGTCGCTTCTGCTCCGCCTGGGTGTGTGCCTCCCGCCTGCGCTCCTTGTAGCTGAGCGTCGAGTTGGCCGCCGTCGAGTGTCTGGCATCGCCGCCACTATCGTCGTCGTCATCTGTGTGTAGACAGGGGAGAGACGGAGACAGTGTGTGAGAAGGCTGTGTAATAAAACGCTGCTGCTGATAGCAAAAGACCCCGAGGAAATTCAATGCCATCCAGCATTATCTGCTCCCCCTGCCCGGAAGGCAACGGAACGCAAGTGTACCCGAATTGTGGGCTGAGGAGTTGGGTGTGTGGGTGCTGCCCGCACTGCTGCAGCGGGAGTATTGCTTGATGTTCAATTCTTGCTCGTGGTCCATTCCGAAAGTTTCCTCCTTGGCTGTGTTATCGCTCATTTTCAATTTTCAACTGCGACGTTAACTCAAAACAAAAACACCAAAACACGCAATTTCCGTGTTCCCATATGTACACAAACTATCGATAGCAGTCTGGTATTTAGTATTTTAGTAATTCAAGGTGTGGCCAAGAGACAATTTTATAAATTTGTTTAAAAATGGTCCTGCTAAATATTCAAGCTGGGGGACTGGCGGTTTGTACAATGGCGCTTAAGGAAGATGATGCAAAAAGAGATCCATGCTTGCATATTTGCAAATATAATAAAATTATAAATAAATTATTCAAGTAATACATATTATAATTAACAAATTCACCAGCGAAATATGGAATATTTCGTTCCCAGCTAAATACTATCGGCTGATTTTCTGGTATTAAGCGGTATTTTACTTATCGTTTTTCTTCGCCAATACCGGTCTCACACAATGACTATTGTGTTTCCTTGTTGAACTTTGCCATCGTGTCGCTTTTTCTTCGGTATCTTGCCTTAAACGCTGTTTATTTAATTTGTTGTTAGAATCGGCAGACGCACAACACACCAACCATGGGCCTGCTTCGAGCCTTGCGTTTGAGAATCATGAACTTCATGGTTTTCTTCCTAATAGTTATAATCCTGCCCAACGTGCCGCCTCGCACCACTTTCCCCTACAAAGAATTTATGTAAGTTCAAGGATTAAATAGTGTCTATCTATTGTAATTGACTGTGATTGCTACAGTGTGAGCCCGCCCAAAGAACTGAAGGGGGCGCTGGAGCCGAACTTTCACCTGGATGGCGCTGAGCGTCTGCTGGAAGGGCGTGTGTATGGCCCCGAATGTCTTATAGCCCGCAACAATGAGATCTACACCGGCATTCATGGCGGTGAGATCATCAAGCTATCTGCCAGCCATGTCACACATGTGGCCAAGATCGGACAGCCTTGCGGTATGTAAAGGAATAACAGACAGATAGATCCTGCAGCTAAAATTTCATTTCTCCACAGAGGACATCTATGAGGAGTCGCGATGTGGCCGTCCGCTGGGTCTGGCTTTTGACACGCAGGGCAATAACCTGATCGTGGCTGATGCTTACTACGGCATCTGGCAAGTCGATTTGAAGACAAACAAGAAGACTCTGCTGGTGTCGCCGGCACAAGAGCTGGACGGCAAAGTCAAGCGTCCGGCGAAGATTTTCAATACCGTGGCCGTCGGCAAGCAGGGGGACATCTTCTGGACGGACTCCTCGTCTGATTTTACCATCGAAGATGTGGTCTTTACCAGCTTCGCCAATCCCTCGGGCCGGTGAGTGCCACACTGCGAATGAATGAACGTAGCAGCCGCTGCAAAAACCGGTTTCTAATGCTCTTTCTAATGGCTACTCTCTCCCGCTCTCTCTGTTTCAGTCTCTTCAAATACAATCGCGCGAAGAATGTTAGCGAGGTGCTGTTGGACGAGCTGGCCTTCGCCAATGGCATTGCGTTGAGCCCCAACGAGGATTTCCTTGTGGTGGCCGAGACCGGAGCCATGCGCCTGACCAAGTATTACCTGCAGGGAGCCAAGGCCGGACAGAGCGAGGTCTTTGTCGATGGTCTGCCAGGCTTGCCCGATAATCTGACGCCCGATGGCGAGGGCATTTGGGTGCCCTTGGTCGTGAGCGCGGACAGCGAGCATCCCAGTGGCTTTAACATATTTGCACGCTTCCCCACCATACGCGTGTTCCTGGCCCGCATGCTGGCCTTCTTCGAACTGCCCTTCCGGTACCTTAACAGCGTGTATCCGAACAAGTTCTCGCAGCGCTTCGTCCACTTTGTGGGCCACTTGGAAAGCATCACTCTGCTGTCGCCCAAGCGCACCACTGTGGTGCGTGTGGACTGGAATGGCAATATTGTAGGATCGCTGCATGGCTTTGACAAGTCGGTGGGTGCCATCTCGCATGTCCTTGAGTTCCAGGACTACCTCTACCTGGGCTCCCCACTCAATCAATATCTGGCACGCGTCAAGTCACCCAAGGCCAAACAGCCCACGGTGAAGGTGCGCAACGTGAGGACCGAGGGCGATGGTCTGGAGGCATCTTTTGGTGCACCACCGCAGCCTACCACAACCACGCCCAAGCCAAAGCCCAAGGCAGCACCGACCACCACAACAACGACAACCACGCCAAAACCGACTACAACTACCACTACCACAAAGAGGCCAACGACAACAACAACAACAACAACAACGACAACGGCCAGGCCAACGACGACATCAACAACAACTAAGCCACCGACAACTAAACCACCCACAACGACCACAACAACGCCAAAGCCTGCTGCCTCGACGACCAAGCGCACAGTGCCTACGAAACCGGCGCCCATCGAGGAACACATTCCAGCGGACACGAAGCCTCCAACAAAGGAGAAGCTCAAGGTCATCAACAAGCAGGGCCAGGGCGTCAACGTGGAGCTCTAAAAGTCCACGAGCGAACACTTGGAGCCTCGAGTTTATTTAGGATATTCCCAGAAGAGATTCGGTTATTCAAGTAGTCAGTCAGAGCTAATGGCAGAATCAAAGTCCACATTACGTTATTCTCTTTATTCTCCCTGCAATCCGAGAAAAGTATCTCATCTCAAATTGATTTAGGGAGTATCCATGCCCATTTATTTTCTTGATAACATTCCACTCAGGCCTCATGCGATGCCAGTTAATTTTAGTCAAAAAGTAGCTAAATTCTAACTAGCTCGAAGCCTTAGCTCAAATGATCCTCTCGGGCAGCTCATTATATGCCTCGGTTTATAATATGTTTTTGCTACAACGTCCTCTGCATTCTATCTTTTTTGGAACTTTGCATTCCCCCCATATATAATATTTACGATTCAAGTAAACAATGCCCTGGAAATTGTTGAACACAAGTAACTTTGATTTTTGTACTGATTTTTTGTTTCTTATTTTCATTGAAAAAATAAAGGTTTTTTGTAAAGATAACTTAATGCTAATTGAGGATGTTTGCGGTTTTGGCTTATAATAAGATAGATCTAGACTAGAATTAGGATTGACACTAGGACACTACTGAGTGGACACAGACTGAGTGCTGGTGGCCTTGGGCCGGCTTGGTGGCTCTTTGAAGTCCGACCACGACCAGTCCGTGTAGTGGACACACCGTCCCAGCTCCTCGGAGTACAGCTGAGACTTGGGGCAGCGTTGGAGGCGGGCACGTGTGCCCTGCTTATCGCACACCCAGTACGCCGTGGGATCCCAGAAATTGCGGAACATGCGGTTCATCTCCTCCAGACTCTGGCAGCCCGGTTCGCCGTTATGCTCATGATATTTCCGCTTCTGAATGGGCAGATGTGCGGCAGCGGTGGCGGTAGGCATTTCTATATCTAAAAGCGAAACCGGAAACTCGACATTAGTTCACGATGAATCGGCATGGTCTCTAGATATTATATATCTATCTGGTGGGTGGCTACGTGCCTTGGCAATGGTATTTGCCCCAGATATTTTTGTGAATTAATTTCCCCATTTCTCTCACCTTTGTGGGTTTTTTCTGTGTCTTTTAGAAGAATCTCACGTCTGTTTCGGCCCGTTTCGATTTCGCACAGCCTGTTGCTTGCTGTTTCACAATTATTTCACTTCTGATTTGTCATACCGAATCATTTCTCGTTTAAATACTTTTTCTGTTGAGCGGCGGCAAACGACGACAGCCACGAATCCGACGACGGCGTCGTCGGCTGCGATAGGGGAGTCCGTACCGATTTCAACCAGAAACGGCTGTACTACGTACAGAACGACGTCTCGCCGGGCAACGGGGCAATTTTTATCTATAACCCCAAGCAAATGTGCTCTGTGCGCGGAAAAGCTGTTGTGCCCGTGATCTTCAGGAACGCCGGGGCGGCCCATTGGTGGGTGGGGCGCAACGGGATGGGTCCCGACCATTCATGTGTCACGCGTAGCATTCGTGCTCGGGGAATACTCCCAGCGCGAGTTATTTATGCATACAGATACAGATACAGATACACAGCCGCAGACGCAGACCCACTTCGAATTTCACAAATTTCAAAGCGAACGCAAATATTTGGAGAAAAAACCACTCGGCCCTTGGCAACACCGCTCAGGTGAACAGGTGAACAGGTGGAACAGGGGCGCGTCGAAAGTACTTTGCGGGGGGTTCCTTGGGTCAAAGGTGAAAGTACTACCTGTGGCTGCTGTGAGAGACAGCGAAATGTCAACAAAAATGCCTCCCGGACTCCGGCTTAGACGTTAGTATTTCATAATCTCCAACAGATCACGCCGTTAATGAATGACTCGGGTGACGAGCCTCCCTTTCGATTGTATTTAGTCGGTAGTTTTCCCCCCGCCAAGCTGCAGCGTGTGTCAGCTTTCCTCTGAAAACAAAAACAACATACAGCAAATACCAGGCCCCACATTATCAGCAGACATTTGGAAGACTTGTAAGCACCCGATGGGAGGAATTTACTTTCATTGATTGCTTGGGTTGGGTTGGTAGACCACTTCACGTGATCGTCCAGTGGCTGTTTTTGGCAAATAGAACTGTGAAACGATTTTGTCTGCCGATTACGTCAGTCCTCAGTCGTTGGTAATTATGCGCACACGTGGGCAACTGGTGGTCAAAGTCGCGATCACGATTGGCAAGTATTTTTATACACATATAAACGTTTTGATCAGGTGCTGCTGATGGAACTTTTTTGGGAATGTTTTATCTGCATACTGATCAGATCTATTCTATAACATAGACTGCTCCAAAGTCCACTTGAGGATGCCAAAATTTGACCTTGAACCACTTCTGAGACCATCCATTAGCACGTGATTCGCTTTTCTGCCTATCTATCTATCTATCTATCTATCTATCTATCTATCAATCTGATGGAATCTTTGTTCTAGTACACACAGAGAAAAAAGCACTGAAATATTAATATTAACACTAAGATTTCGAAACTTAGACTATTTTCATATTTAAAATAAATAAATTTCATATTTAAATTCAATATTTTCACATTCAGATCAATAAATTTTCTAAAAATATAATATACACTATATTTATTTTAAAGTTTTGTATATTTCGATTAAATATGGATTTTCAATAAATTTATTTTTAAATCAAAGTGAATTCCATTTAATTGAAATGTTTGTGTTTAAAATTAATAATAATTTTATTTAAATATGCGTGTGTGTTCTTTTTAGTCTACCATTTTCTTTGAGTGTATTGAGGGGCATTACCCTGCTGTGAGTAAAGTAGTTTCCACTAGATATAATATAAAAACCATAGGCGGCACTTTATTCATTTGAATTATTGGGGATTGATATAGAACTTCCCAATAAGTGGGCAGAGCAAAATGTATTAACAACTGGTTGCCTCATTGGAATTACGAGGAATTTGCCCTAGCAACATTCAACTATTTGCGATACATCGTTCCACTAATGTCAGATAAGATACATACATATATTTTTGGTTTCGTCATATTTACGCGAACTTCACGTGCGTTGCGCGAGACGAGACCCGACCCGCGAATGGAGTGGGGAGGCGCTAAAAGTTATAAATAATTATCTACTAATTGATTCGTCATTTCGAGTGAAAACGTCTGGTGTGTGCGCGAGCGATGCCTGAACTTTGGTTAGTAGATACGAAATGCTACGCGTAGATACGAATGGACGAGCGCGGCTCGCTTTTATGGCTGCAATAAGAGTGCCACTCCCCCCAATATCCATTTCGATGGACGCTCGCGGGTCTTGAGGTTGAATGTCCAGACATAAGTGTTGCCACGCGACCTGGAAGTGAAACCAAATCCGAGATATGCATAATATAGCAGTTCCGTAGGGAAAAAGGTCACTCACCTGGTCTTGTATAGGGGGCACTCGTAGACACGCTGCAGCTCTTGTTTCTCCTGGACAATGGACTTGATGTAGATGACAGGCATGGCGCAGAGCATCTCCTTGGGATGCAGGGCCACGATAGAGTTGAGCTGACAATCCCAGCTGGCCCCATCCATATACAGGTCATGGACAAAGGCACCCTCCATAGGTGGAAGGCTGATAAAAGATTACAGATAGAGATTGGAGTTAAAGAAAAGTTGGGAAGGTCCTACGTGACATCATCCTTTTGCTTCTTGGTGACATCGCAGCTGATCAGCATGCGGTCCAGTGGCAGATCGTGCTTCCTGGCACTCTCCTGCATAATGGCCGTGAGGAAGCTCTGTGGATTGAACAATCCACCCAGCCAGATGGCGCACGGAAGCTTAAAGTCGTTCAGCCAGCCGGCAAGCTCCTTGATGCGATGCAGTAGATCCGCGAACCAGCCCTGGAGGCCCAGCATGCTGGGATAGGCCAGCAGGGCCCAAGCCCCAGGCACATGGTCATAGAAAATGGCGTGATCCAGCCGCTCCATTTCCTGAGTGATGGTCAGCTCTCCCTTGAGGCCCAGCATCAGTTCGCGGAGAGATCGCTTGATCTCGCGAATGAGGGCATTCATGCGCTCACATTCCTGAAGCGCCACGACCACAAAGGGGGTCTTGCGCTCCACCCGATTGAGCAGCGCCTGGAGATTGAACTCGTCCTGCAGCTTGTCCAGAAAGTCATCGATCATGATCTTCACGAGCTCCTCCCTGGGTGCACCACAGTGGGAGCTCAGCTCCGATTCTCTGGGCTGCAGCTCGAAGATGGTGCGCAGCAGCTGCTCAGAGGCGGTGGTGAGGAACCCAATCTCCGCATTTGGGTGAAGTCCGTACAGCAGGGGGGACTCATCCGGTAGCATTTCATTGATGTAGGAGTGATAGCCGTCGAAATCTAGATTGGGCGGAGCTGGGAATCCCGGGCACAGCTCAAAGTCGCCATCGATCAGATCCTGTTGCAGAAGCTCCTCCAAGTACGTTTGGCACAGGCGCCTGTCCCAGTCGTCGGTGATGTGGCCCCCGTACATGATCTCGCCGAAAAGGTAGCGCAGATCCTCCCACGGTATACGATTGCTGCCCTCCAGATAGTTATGCAGCACATTCGACGAGATCATGAGGTCCCCGATGTTGAACGGATAGATCTTGTTCCAGCCCTGAGGCCCGAACTTTCGCCTTTCCCCGGCCACCGCATGGAAGTAGCAGAGGGCGAAGAGAATGGACTTGAACTCGGCCTCTTGGGTGCAGGTCTCCAGCGCCTCCTGAGAGAAGTTATCCCAGGCCTTGTGGAGATTGGCGGCCATCCCAGCTGGCGGCTCATTGACCACCTTCAGCGACGATTCTAAGATGCCCTGCGGTATGATGTGGTACTGTGGATCCGGGGCCGGTTCAGCGCTGATGAAGAGACGGAAATTGGACTCCCCCTGGGTCTCGGACTGCAGGACAATGCGCTCGATGAGTTTTTCCAGCATCGGCAGCCAGTTGACCACCAGATGAATGTTCTGCAGAATGACCCACTGCTGACCCGAGGCCAGAGCCTGGTGTATGGCCTGTTCAGCCAGCAGCTCCTGGCCCTGACCCAGCGAAATGTTAACCAGCGTCTCGGCTTCTGCGTGGAAGCCCTGCTTCTGGCCAAACCGCTCCACATCCCGGATGGGATCGACACCGGGTGAGAGTATAAAGAAGGCTGGTGTCGCCGCATTCAGGTCCTTGAAGATGGCATTGAACGGCGGCGTCTGCACCTCCGCATACGATCGTCCCATGGTCTGCTCAACGAACTGGCACATGGCATAGGTCATGCGATCGGGCCGCAGGGCTCGGACAATGCACAGTTTCTGGAGCGGCGTCCGGTGCTTCCACTCGCCCGGGAACTGTTCCCGCTCGGGGGTATCGCTGCCCATGAACTTGCGCCAGCGCTTCGTGTAGTTCTCCATGTCCTTGTCGATGCCGTAGAAGTGCTCGATGAGGGTCAGCGACTTGATGCCACCCCAGGCACTGCGCCCGACAAAGTCCAGCGGCGACAGTGTGCTCGGATCGTGGGGGTATCGCAGCAGGAAGTCCGTCTCATCCTTCGAGACCTGATCGGCGGCAATCAGGATGCGCAGCGTCATGTGCGAGGTGAAGGTCAGCTTGTCCGCCTCGAAGAGACCCCTCAGCGTGTAGCGGTAGGTCTGGAGGGTGATCGAGTCGACCAGGTGCAGCACTCGCTTCTCGTAGTTCTTGCAGTCGGGCGCCAGGGCGATGGCCTGCCGGAAGACGTTCATGAAGGACTTCAGCGAGAACTTGTAGATGGGATTGATGCGGTTGAGGTCGGTGAGGACAAAGTACAGGATTGCCGCCCGCTTGGCCGCCGAACGATAGATGTTCCGCGTGTCGTCGATCTGCAGGGTCGTGAGACGAGCCTCCCGCACCTTGGCCTCGATTTCATCCACCGTGCGCTTGGTGTTCTCCAGATTCAGTACCAAGGCATGGTCGTCGAGTACATTCTCGCCGGCAGAGGCTAGTCTGGCCAGGAGCTCATCCTCGAGGGCTTTTAGGGAGATTTTGAACTTGTTCTGTTGGACGGTTACCTCCGTTTTCATTTGCTCCAAGTCCGGCCGCTCAATCTTGACCACTTCCGCGAGCAGCTGCTCCTCGAGGCCATCCGGCGTCACCGTAAAGTTAATCAGGGTCGTCTGGGCCTGCATTTCCGGCTTGTAGTGCGGATTGGCCATCTTCGTG